TAACTGGAGAGGAAGGGGTTTGCTTGCTAGGCACAGTTTTATGATCACATTTATTTTGTTCTCCATGTGTGTCCCATGATTTTGGTTATTTTCTGAAGTCCGTTGCTGGAGTCAAATGATGATTTGAGCATCTCAGCTTCCGTTTTTATTCTTGTTTTAAATCCATGTGCTTATTGGTAGAGTCTAAACATACGACCTCGTGTGCCCCAAGTGCTTTAGCTATTAGAAGCGAAGAAAATTCTTTGTGTAATATTTTTTGGTTTAAGAACTAATTGCATGATCTTTGTGAATTCTTTCCGGTTTGATTCCTCTTTTCTGGCTGTTTGTAGAGGACAGGGTCTTGCGTTCCTTAGGGACACAAGATATTTGGGATCCTCAGGTGCCGAAGAGAGCCGAGCAAGCCTGAAGCCGTCAATGATTTCTCACAGAGAAAGCCTGGGCTGCGCGCGAGGGAGTCCTGGCAGCACGCATGGGGCACGGGCATGTAAAATGGTTGTGTTTTTCACTTGCTCCTGGTTGCCTTGTAACCAGCTTCAGGCTGGGGTAAAGGAGAGATCGGTGCTTTGAGAAGGGGACGATGCTGCCGGAGCAGGAGATGGAGCAGGGCAGAGACCTGTGGAGGGTGCGCGCCCTTCGCCGGGAGCCCTTGAGCCCGTCGAGTCCACTGTCAGGACTGGCCCTGGTCTTGCCAGATTTGTTCGCAAAGCCGCTGGAAGATCCGCTAAACCCTGGGCTCTCGGCGTTCTCTGCTCGGGAACGCCAAGTGCGAGCCGGCGGGGCTGGGCACTGCCTGCCCAAACGTGTGTCCCCCCTCGGTGCCCCCTTCTCCCAAAGGCATTTGGGCCTGGAGAAGGCAGTTGGTTGCAGCCAGCCGTTGGCTAAATCTGTGACCTTAGGGCAAAGCGTTTAAAAACAGATGTGTCCATCTTCCCTCGCACGAGGCCGCTTCAGTATTTAAAGTGCAACTATTGATGCAGGAAGCAGAAAAATTTTATCTGCGAAAAATTGAACTCCAAATAGTGGCTTCAGCTCGTTCGGAGCAATAAGAGAGCGTGAAATTGATGTGAATCCTCAGGGCTTTCCTGGACAGTGTGTGAGCCCATTGCAAAACATTTATTGTAAAATATCTTCTAATTGCAGTGCCTAAAGTGGGCACTTTGGTCCCTTTGAACAGCTTTGGTATCTTGTTTTCTCTAGGCAATTATAAGCAGTGGATACACAAAGAAGGACAGGGATCGTTCCGGCAGGAATCAGAGTGCCTTGAACAAACGCGAGGAATTAATTGATCTCTCCCTCCGCCTCTTTTGATTTCCCAGTTGACTTCAGAGAGCAGAGGGCTCAGAGGGAGCGGGGCTGGCGCCGGCTGCTCTCCCTGCCTGGCCAGCGGTGGCATCTAGAGCACGCTGCGGTCCATGCTCCCATTGACCTCAAGGCGCTCTGGTCCGGGCACCCACTCCTGGCACCCGGTTACCTCCAAGCCGCCTGTTAGAAATGAACCGGGAGCGTGCCAGCCCCTCGGCAGCTGGCTGCAGGGTGCAAAGAGCCTGCTGATACCCCGCAGCCCTCCGTGGCGCCCGGGGTCTCCCTGGGGCCAGCAGTCCTGCATCCCCAAAGCAGGCTCTTCTCCCGGAGAAGCCTGCACTTCCCAGACATCGCTAAGGGAACACAGTGGCGCTGGCATGTCACACGCTGGGCTCTGCCGCCTAACGCTTCTCCTTGCCCCCTGCTCCGGCCCTCAGAGGCGTCCCCGGTGCTTCGTGCCGGGGTCCCTGTCGGGCAGAGCAGGATGGATCGCGTCCACCTCTGCCGCTGCCAGGGGAGCAGCACCCGGAAAGGTGCCGCTGCGACTCGGCAGCTGCATTTCACCCTGTTTTAAACCCTAATGCCAGGGGAGGGGAATGTGTGCAGGCACACAGCCTCGCCAGAGCGTCAGCGTGCTCTGGGGGACCATCTCCGTGGACAAGCAGGTTCCTTCTGGGGGACTGGAAACCAGCAAAAGTGCCTGGTAATGCTTTCCTCTTCACTAAAGAGCTGCAGATACCTCAGCTCTCAAATGTGAATACAGTGGTGTGACAGCACAGGCAGAAGGGTGCTAGAGGCAGAAGTTTCTTGCGGTACGCAAAATAGGTTCAGTATTAATTGCACTGTCACTATAGTGCTATTCTTTGAAGTCTTCACTGGTGTAGAACTTTAAAAACAATGGGAGGGAATAATGCAGCGTGACCACAGTGCTTAAATAATGCTGTAGGATTGGTACGAGGGGAACTACAGAGCTTGGTGGTGGAGCCTGAGCAGAACGTGCGAGAGCCCAGCTGCACCCTTGGCTCTCTGCAAATGTCTTTCTCAAGTCGTTTTCCTCTTTGTGCCTCATTTTATCCCACCTGTGATAAGGGGACAGCGTCGGCTGCCGATCGCTGCTGAGAGGTTCGGGGGAAGCAACCACTTAAATGCAAAAGTAAGTTAGCACAGTTGTGAGACGCCGCACAGCATTAATGCGCTCAACGGTGTGATGACGGGGAAATTTGTTTTCAGCTGAACGAGCTGATTAATGCAGTGCCTGGCAAATGTAATTTCAGTGTGGGGGATTGATTACTTTCAGTACGTGGGATTGATTTAGGGATCCTCCAGTGATGGAGCCAGCCTGTGTGTCTGGATCAGTAAGTAGGTTTTTGCCAATCTTGATAATCAATCCATGTTTCCATCTCCTGCTTCTGGAACTGTACGGGCCACGCTGCTGCCGCACCGCCTCCACCCAGCCGGCCCCAGCGTTCCCGGGCAGAGCACAACCAGCCCATCACACTTGAGTTGTTTGGAGTGCCATGTCGCCCAGATGCTTTTATCTCAGAATTGGGATAATAGCTTTCTTTGGGGGTGGAGGGATTAATTTTTCACACATCTGTCCACTGGAATGCAATAACAGATCCTTTGTTCAGGCTCTGTCTGTGGAGCGCATTCTCCACCCTTGTTATTTCATTCTTCTTTTGCATGGCAAAACTTTTTGTCCTGCATTTCAAATAGATACTGAGCGTCCCTGGCAGTCGAACAAGAGAAACAAACTTTCCAGCCCTGTTTTTTATGCTGCTTTCAGGGGATGCTTGGTGATTTGAAGGGTATTTGATTGGTTTTGGCAGAGGCATTTTATTCCGTGGAAAATCCACAGCTCCTCTGATCCCTTGCGGATGGTTTAGGGAGCCCCTGGAGTCTCCAAATGAGAGATTTGCTGTTGGCCAGCTGGTCCTGGACGTGCCATGGGAATGCTGAGGACGCCGCTCTCAGGACATGCGCTGTGGTGGGCAGGGAGCGGAGGAGGAGAGGCTGTAGGGACGGTGCCAGCTCTGCTCCCTCCTGACCCGCAGCGGGAGGGCTCAGGGCTTGGCCCAGGCATGGCTCGGCATGAAAACGAAGCCCCAGATCCTCAGCCCCTGTCCTGCTGCTTTCCCTGCTGTTTGAAGGTCGGTTTGACTTTAACACCGAGGTCTTCTCACCCCAGAATATCGCAGCTCCAGCCTAAAATGTATATTGGGGGACACAACCATCACCAGCAAAAGGCAATTTAGCACTTGGGCATTTGGTTATAATATCCCCCAGTCCGGGTGTGCTTCCTCCTGCATCCCACTCCACAGAGATTGTAGCAGTTCATCAGCATAATAAAAACAAACAGATTCACGTCAGCATGAAGGGACAGGATTTGCTGTGCGGTGCGTGGGCTCTGCGCATGGGGAGCAGCAGCAGACAGCAGCCTGGGGTAGCTGTGCATACATTTACCTATACTTTTTTTTTTTCCCCCCGACAGCCCTATTACCATATTTAAATGCAAGTATGTCTTTTTTTAATTGATGTTTTAAGTAGCTTCAATTCACTCTAGCCTAGTTGTTCTCTGCTCCTTTCCCCCTGGTAGATTACCTGTAGCTGAGACGGTAGTGCTAGAGGTAGCGGGCTTCTAGCTCTGTCAGCGGGCTGCTGATTCCTCTGGGTCTCGCTCTCTCCGTTCCTCCAGCTGGCTGTCCTCTTTTTCTGTTGCCTCAGTTGTTTTTCTGTCGTTCTTCAGCATTGCAAAGCAGCAGTGATCAAAGTCCTGGAGCCCGCTCGAGGGGCAGGTCCCGGGGTGGTGACTACCCCGGGGTGGTCCTGTTGGGCACCAGGAGTGGTCGGAGCTCCCCAGAGACCAGGAACCTCCGAGGGTTTTGTTGACTTTGCAGCAAGGGGGTTCGGGGTTCTTGCTGATCACCTGGACCTTGCCATTGCCCTCTTAAAATATATTTATTTAAAGCCAGAGCCTCTGGCAGATCTTTTGAATATTAATGATGTAAAGAAACTAAATCTGCAATCTTGCTAGCAGCATTTCATTCATCTGCAAGGGCTCGGTCCCCCTGTAGCAGGGTGTATGTCTTAGAGCTCCTTGATCTGCGGCTGTTTTGCTTTCAAAAGCTTTTTTTTTCTTTCTTTCTTTCTTTCTTTCTTTCTTTTTTAAATTACATTCCAGTGAATTTTTTCTGCTTGATCCCAGCAAATCTGTGATCTTGACATGAGGACCTCCTCATATTTTCCATTACTGCTATGTCTGTAGATCAGCACGTTATTATCACTTGCAAATAAGCAAAGAAGAGAATTCCCTCGTTGTTTTGCGGAGCGGTCTGACCCTAGCCCTTTGAGAGCACAGAGACGTAAGCTGAGCGCTGCAGGCTCTGCTGCCAGTCCGTCCGCCCCGGCACCTCAGCTTTGGCAGCGTGCCGTGGCCAGGCGCCCCATCAGCGGCACCCGCCGCCACGTTCCTCTTCTGCCAAGGGGATTTGGGCCACCTTTGTGCCGGCAGAGACCACCGGCAGCGGGCACCTGGCGAGGGCTCGGCTCTTTCTAAAGATGGTGCCTGTTGACGGCACAGAGAGCCGGAACGGCGACCTCTGGAAACGCTGTGCCCTCGGCGGCTGCCTCGCGCCCCGCAGAGACTCGCGGTACCCGCTGGCTTCTTTCTTTACCCTTCTCCTTTTCTCCATGGCCAGGTTTTCCGGCAGCGGCTTATGGACCAGTAGCAGCGGCAGCCGTGGCGGCAGCAAGAGGATCAGGTAGGGGGGCCCGTGGAAGAGCAAACCCTCAGAGTGCAGGGTCAGGTAAAAGCTCTGTCGGTATTCTGTGTGGCTGCAGCTCTCCATCATTTCTCTGATTTTCCTCACACTTATCCTGGGGACCTGAAAACAAATGATCAGAAAACCAAAATTATGTAAGAAATAAATAATCAATCCCAAACCAAACCCAAACTACAAGCAGAGGCCACGGGGCCTGGAGCACCTTGCAGGAGATTGGCATAAGAACTGCCAAAACCAGGGTAGATATTCTGATTTGTTTCTTTATTTATTCCTTTATTATGTTGGTTTCATTTTTTCTTTGGTTTAAATTCGAGGTTATTAAGGACACCCCACCAAAAAAAAAAAAAATCGATTTATGTTTTTGAAAAAAAGGTTTGGTTTCTCATGGAAAGTGAGCGCT